GATATATTTACTTAAAAAAACTTTGTATCGAATGCAGATTAAGTAAAGCAACTTCAAATAGAATGACCATAACAATCTATATATTAAAATGTTTCTTCGGAAATGCCATTGTGAATATATATATATATATATATATATATCATTTTTGATAGATCTTTTGCAAGTTTTCATAGCAGATAAAAGAAATATGAAGGTTTACCCTTCATCTTATAAGTGAATATGTGGTTTATAGAACTTGGAAGGTATCATCATGAAGGTTTATTCTCACTTACAACTACGACGCTTTTTAAAATATATTAAAGTTTCTAATGACATTTTGTCTCACTTTCTAATTTCTATCAATCTAAATCATGAAAGGTTGGTCCTCCTACCAAATTTGATGTCTAAAAAAACTTGGTAGGAATCGTGAAGGTTTATTCTCTCACTAACAACATATGCCTTTTCATTTTTCTTAAAGCTTCTAATGACATTTTGTCTCACTTTATATCAACTTTGTTTGGTCTTATAACTCGATTATCTATGATTAATTTAGGGTAATATGCCATATATAATTCCGTTTCAATAAAAAAAGAGAGCTACAAAAGAGTAGGAAAGGGTTAAGGAATTGATAAACTAATGATGGTATAAACACGAAAACGATCTAAGCGGCAGAAAGTGCATACTCCCCTCGATTTTTTTTTTGTTTAACTTGCAGCAATACTCACACTTAGATATTATTTAATTAGGAAATTTTCACAAAGCTAACTTTCACTTGTATTTTTATTTATATAATAACATGCGCAGTCTAATTTAGTAATTAGTAATTTTGTTGAATATATTGTTGATTGTCTACAGAAGAGGCTTCTCAATAATCGGGCCTAAACTCTTGTTTTATAAGTCTGGGGCCTTGGTTGGGTTTTTGTATCGGGCTACTTTGAAAGCTGAAATAAGATGTATCTTTCCATTACTGTCGTTGGCTAATCAGAAAAATTAAGATACAGTACATGATTACAAACTCTAATAATATCAACAATAAAACAAAACAAAAAAGTAATCACCTTTTTTTAACTCGAACCGTATTCTTAAATCATGTGTTAGACACATGAGCATGATTCACATGGTATGCCGACATAGATCAATAGAAATTACTGAGTGATGATGATGACCTTGACTCACATCAAAAATTCAAAAGTGAAGAATTCTAGACGACTCATGATGATTGTGTACGATAATCTATACTAAATAAAATGAACTATTTGAGGTTCTTCAAGCTATCTACATCAGCTTTTCAAACTACTCTAAAAAGATGTCACATCAGCAATATTAAATTAACTTTCTTTGCTTTGAAATAACATAGAGACTACTCTAAATATATATTCACATTATCACAAAACTTAATCCTAAAAAGCAAACTTTTAACCGAGAAGTTCTATCGTTTCTTCTCCCCTCCTATTATTAAATAATCAGTCTTCACCAATTTTCCTTCTGCACAACAATCTCATAGATCAAATTCGGTTCCTCTTCCCTTCTTATCTACGAACACAACTGACTCACTCAAAAAACTTACACCAAATGATTCCTATAGAGAAAACCCAGGAAATAATCATTAATCACCATTCACAAGGACAAAACTTTGGTGGAGAATCAAGTTTCCAATGTTGACAGCACCTTTATCCATGAGGAGAAAGACGAATGATTCAACGGAGGAAAAACCAGACCAAAGCGGGTCAAAAAAGCACGTAACCAGCACACCAATCCGAAGAGTTAGTAACGGAGTTTCCCGATTTTCATGCGCATAGCAATAGTGTGGTGACGAGATGGGTTGATAAATAGTGTGGCCAGACTAATCCAAAACCATAAACTGAATCAGATAAATATTATTGATGATGGCCGTATATACTCTGAATCTCTATCCAATTTAATAACGTGTACGTACAAAACTCATGTTTTAGTCTGTATGTTTGTAGGAAGGTTAGATCTTTAATTATTCTTCTGAAAATAGTGGTGAGTTTTTATTTACAGCGGAGACAAGAGATTTGTTCGTCTGTGAAACTTTGATGTATATCACACAACCCTCTCCTTCATTTTCTCACGGTAAGTTATTTCTATATGTATATATGTAATATAGTAAACCTGCATTTAGAAAGTCAGTATGTTACTTATAAGTGCTATTACTTGCACCTGCTGCAGACAATGATTGTCTCGCTTTAGACTATTATTTGTGAATTTTCTTTTAAGGGTTAGAGTTGATTCTGCAAAAATTTAAAACCTTCGGCCAAATCCACTTTACTCACAAAGATATGTTAGGTATGAGTTTTTTTTTTTAAATTATTTTTTTTCATTTTTGTGTTCACGTGGATATTGATTAAGATGACATTTTTCATAATTTCCAAACTTAAGATACATACTGGAAATTACAAATAGTATAGTTTTTATATAATTGATGTTAGGAAAAAAGATCCTTACCAGCGCAAATACAAAATATGCAATTCAATGTGGTGAAGTGACTGTTTTTATAAGACCATTCATAAACTTCTATCTTAAAAGCTTTCATTCTTATCTTTCTTTTTGCTTGGCTGTGTACACAATATTAAAGTAGTGCATGGATCACGCTAATAACTTAACTAATTGGAGTAGTTGAAGTCTAAAAATATAGAAAATTGATGTTAATGGCAAACATCTAAAACTGTTGGAAAAAATATAGATATGGCAACCCGTAAATGCACTGATTTTATATTTGAAGTTTGATCTTCAGAGAAAAAAAAAAGCAAAAGTAAATTTCAAAAGAAAACCAGTTTCGTGTTCGAGTAGGCAGCTCAATTGTTCAGATTGCTCAGAGAGTATGGATGATGATAGTTTCTAAATTCTAAACATTTTACACATAAATAAATGACGAACTTCCATAGAGTAAGGATGTTAAAGACCGCAAAGAATAAAAGGTTTCGTGAAATATTATTATAACAACAATCATATTAACAAAGTGAAATTATCGATATGACAAAGTGTTAATTTGAAGGGAATACTTGAGACCGTATAAATGTATGGCACATGGGTAGATTATGATTAAAGAAATTGTGGGTATGTGAAGAACAACGAACCTCAAATATATAAACAACATTGACAAGGACTGAATTCTGGACACAACGAAGGTGTTAGTTAGAAAAAGAGAAAGAGTACATTCTTATGTGCATAAAAGAAGAAAAAGTAAAAACAAAATATATACATGAATTTGATTATACAGCAAGGTTTCACAAATAACGTAATATATAAGTTAAGTTTATATTGGAAAGCAAATATGTAAGCTAAATTCTTTTCATTATTTACTGTCTATTAATTTTTTTTAGATTGAAAAACGACTGTGATTGATCATATGGTTGGTAAGCTGTAGATTTTTAATTTTAATTTTGCTGAAGTAAATAGTAAAAAAATGACCGTGACTTTAGAAAAAAAATGTTAGTGTTTATATACTTTAGAAAAAATTAATCTAACAACAAAATGTAAAGACAAATTATGTGAGTGTTTTTACGACAACTTTTATAATTTTAAAGATTTATAAATCAGTAAAATTTTGATTGGCTAATATATGACTTTTAAGACTTTTTTAAAAGTTGTTTTGCTGATCAGAACCTAATATAAAATTGTTTTCTAAAAATAAATTACTAAAAATTAAAATTGTTTTTCAACTTTATTTTTATTTACTTGGTTTAACACTTTTTAATGGAACAAAGCAATCTATATTTTTGTGAAAAACAAATTTGTTTTTTACAAATTTATGTTTTTTCCATATAATCAATAATAATTCTCTATAATCAATTATTAATAATTAAATATTTATTTCTAAAATCTAAATAAAAATATATATTTAAAAATAAATTTGCGCGAAGCATACCCTAGTTTCATTAAAAAAAATGATAGGTTAATTACAATTAAAGAAAATTTGAGGAAGTTATAAAGATTTTGGTTTTGTAGAATAGAGGATGTTGGGCATGTCAGTAATTAAGGACACTGTGTGTAAAAAATTATGACATGTTCATTTTTTTTCTCGACTTTTAATTTTTATTTCCTTATAAGTTATTTTGTTAAACTTGCCACGTGTCAAAATCTGATTGCAGATGTGACTTCAATTGTGTTCAGTATTAAAGATATATTATCTCCGCCGTATTAATTCAGCTCCCTGCAAGCACTCAACGCCGAGAGCCTTAACGTCTTTCGTCGATCGCCGGTCTGCAGATTTTAGCGAAATTCGAGATCCGACGAGCAGATCTCCTGCTTAATCTGCAAAGATGGTGAGAACTCAAATCTCTCATTTCTTTATATTTTTATCCCTCCCAGATCTCAAGTGAGCTTGCTTGCGATTCGATCTAGATTTCTGCATTTCATCTGCAGTTATGCGTAATTTGAGCGAGATCGTCGATTCCGAAATCATGTGGTGTTTCGTTTCTATTTGCTTAATTTGACACCAACATCGCCGATTTGTGTTGTTGCTATTTGTTGTGGTTTTCATGAAATCGAGTATAGTGTCTGGCATTTGGTTTATGAGATTGAATATGGATTATAGCTGAAAAGATCTGGTGTTTATGGGTTTTAAAGCTATCTATGCGCCAAAATTTGTTCGCGCTTTGAAATCTTATATGTTTTAGAGTGGTACTGACTATTTGTTTCTCTTTCGATTTTGTTGCAACAGCCGCTCAGACTCGATATCAAGGTATTGTTTTTTCTTTCATGAAGTATACTATTAGCAACACTTTTTTCTATCTTTCTTCTCTGTGCTTTTGTCGATAATTTGCTTTTGATATCTTTGCATCAGAAAAAATTTGCTCAACGATCAGAGAGAGTAAAATCTGTGGATCTGCATCCTACAGAACCATGGTAATTTCAACTTTGGTTGTGCTATCTTGCGACTTTGATATTTATGTATTAACCTCATTTGCTATGGGTGCTAGTACTATGTCTCATTACGTTTTGCGCCTTCATAGCTGCTACTAATGACTGACATGTTAATAATGACGCGGTGTTACAGGATTCTAGCAAGTTTGTATTCTGGAACCTTGTGTATTTGGAACTACCAGACACAGGTGGGTGAATATTTTGAATTTTGTTTCTCTGTCTATTTGTGCTCGTATCCTACAATGAAAAGCCTATGACATGAACGTAAAGTTGAAGTGAGCGTATCCTCACTATAAGAATTCTATAAGTTCAGAGTACCGTAATTGGTCTTTTAAGCAGTTTTTTTTTTTATGATTTCATTGAATCCTTCTAATTTGAATCTAATATGATTGTTCGCAGACAATAATAAAATCCTTCGAAGTGACCGAATTGCCAGGTATAATAACTTTATGAGCATCTTCTCAGTAAAGATTTCGTTTTTTTTTTCCTATTACTGAATTTTATATATGACTTTGCAGTTAGGTCGGCCAAGTTTATTCCACGCAAGCAATGGGTTGTGGCAGGAGCGGATGATATGTACATCCGTGTATACAATTACAACACTATGGACAAGGTTAAAGTCTTTGAGGCTCATTCGGATTACATTAGGTGTGTAGCTGTCCATCCGACCCTTCCATATGTGCTGTCATCTTCTGATGATATGCTCATAAAGCTCTGGGACTGGGAAAATGGTTGGGCTTGTACTCAGATATTTGAGGGACATTCGCACTATGTGATGCAAGTGGTATTCAATCCAAAAGACACCAACACTTTTGCCAGTGCATCGCTTGACCGTACCATAAAGGTGTGAAAATCCCCAAGCGCTTAGCTTTATGGCTTACTCAGCATGAGTTGCTGTAAAATGTGTGTGCTCAGACTATTTTTTCATGCCTGTTCTTCTTCAGATATGGAATCTTGGTTCCCCAGACCCAAATTTTACACTGGACGCTCATCAGAAAGGAGTCAACTGCGTAGATTATTTCACAGGGGGTGATAAGCCCTATTTGATTACTGGCTCTGATGATCATACTGCTAAGGTATGCTTCTGGTTAAGCTTCCTATATAATGTGATTTGTTTCGCCTAAGCATTATGTAAGTGCAGATCATTTACAAGTTGTACTTTTGTAATCAGGTATGGGACTATCAAACCAAAAGTTGTGTCCAGACACTAGAAGGGCACACACACAATGTATCTGCCGTATGTTTCCATCCGGAGCTTCCAATAATACTCACAGGTTCTGAGGATGGCACTGTTCGCATTTGGCACGCCACGACTTACAGGTGTTTATCTAAAAAGTTCATTCTATCAAAAGAGATACCACTGCTGATATTTATGGGATTTTAGCCTTGTGCACATGAGGTTCTTTCTTGTATTTTCCTATTATGTCATTTGATTAGTTATTTCAAATTGTATTTTATTTCAGGCTAGAGAACACATTGAATTATGGTCTCGAGAGAGTTTGGGCCATTGGTTACATAAAAAGTTCGCGCCGGTGAGTTTTTGGATTTTTTGCTCCCTCATTTTACCTTTCTCTAACTCAATACTTATTAGAATTGCTTTCCAAGAGTAGTTGTTCTCTCTTGGTAGAATCTTTGTTTCTGCCATTTTTGTTGTTACTTTCTTCTGAAATTGACGATTTCAAGAGATAATGGCGCTTAGAATTGGTAGGAGATATTTAGGGACCAGTGTTAGCGCCTTATTCAACTGATCATACGAGAGCATCAACAACGAATGTGTTTGCATTTTACAGGGTTGTGATTGGATATGATGAAGGAACCATCATGGTTAAACTTGGACGAGAAATTCCTGTCGCTAGCATGGACAGTAGCGGAAAAATTATATGGGCTAAGCATAACGAAATTCAAACTGCGAACATCAAAAGTATTGGTGCAGGTTACGAGGTCTAGCTTCTGACTATAACTATTGTATTATGGCGTGGCCCAACCTGTGTGACTAAGCTATTTATTTGTATTGTCTGATGATTTTAACCTTTCATCTCTTTACCTAGGTTACTGATGGAGAAAGACTTCCGTTGGCTGTTAAAGAGCTGGGGACCTGTGATCTATATCCACAAGTGAGTGTTTCTATACAGCTCCATCTGAAACTTGTCCTGTTGTGCTGAACTAGTATAGGATATATTGGGGTGAACATTTCTGCTGCATGTCCCACTTAAATGGGTGCGTTGTGGGTATCATCAGAGCCGTGCTTCAGCTAAATGTGATGTGTAACGGTCCTTTGAAACAACATATATTTGAAATGAAGTGGTAATAGATGATAAAAAATAATTTCTGGTCCATACGAAGTCCCAAGTGTGTCGTTCAGAATAATCATCTCTTGTAACTCATATATAGCCATCCATTCTAACTCTCAGAGCTTGAAGCACAACCCTAACGGGAGGTTTGTCGTAGTCTGCGGTGATGGAGAGTACATAATCTACACAGCTTTGGCTTGGAGAAATAGATCTTTCGGTTCTGGACTGGAGTTTGTTTGGTCATCCGAGGGGGAATGTGCAGTTAGAGAAAGCTCATCAAAGATAAAGATATTCAGTAAAAATTTCCAGGTTTGCTATTACCACTGTGGCGTTTCCAATACATTTTTGTTAGAGTGTGCTTCTAGGGTTAAAGAAATTGCAGCAGTTGCCTGCAATGAATACAGCTACTGGTGGCTTGGTGTATTAATAAATGTTGTTTTTTCAGGAAAGAAAGAGTATCCGGCCTACTTTCTCAGCTGAGAAGATTTTTGGAGGAACCTTGTTAGCAATGTGTTCAAATGATTTCATCTGCTTTTATGATTGGGCTGAATGTAGGCTGATTCAACAAATTGATGTCACAGTAAAGGTATTCAACAAATATTTTGTTGTCTCCGTTGTGGAATTTAACTTTCACTAGTTATTTCCAGTTCTCTCTTTACATTCTATTTTCAGTTGGAAGTTGTCCCCGTCTGTGTCTTTTCTAACTCTTTAGGGCTCCCATGAAAAATCTGCAGAATCTTTATTGGGCTGAGAGTGGTGATTTAGTAGCCATTGCTAGTGATACGTCATTCTACATCTTGAAGTACAATGTGAGAATCCCACTCAACCATTTTTCCAGCAATATTTTCATTTCCACTTTCTTGGATTGTCCAAATGTTTACGCTGGTGTTCCTCTCTGTTACAGCGAGACTTGGTTTCCTCGCATTTTGATAGTGGAAGACCAACTGATGAAGAAGGTGTTGAGGATGCTTTTGAGGTTCTCCATGAGAACGATGAACGTGTTAGGACAGGTATATGGGTTGGGGACTGCTTCATATACAACAACTCTTCCTGGAAGCTTAACTATTGTGTTGGAGGCGAGGTACTTTGCGTGTATTATGATTTTTTCAAGATTTAGTCATCTTTATTAGCTAAACTATTATCTGAGTTGCGAATATACTTATGGCAGGTAACGACAATGTATCATTTGGACCGTCCAATGTATTTGTTAGGCTATATTGCCAATCAAAGCCGGGTTTACTTGGTGGACAAAGAATTCAAGTACGTTCCTTTATTTCTGTGTTTTATTTCTGACTGTTTTATATCATAATTTTGCTGACGTAGTTTACTTTTTATTGGGAATGCAGTGTCATAGGATATACCCTGCTGCTTAGCCTAATTGAATACAAGACTCTTGTGATGCGAGGTGATTTGGATAGAGCCAATGAAATTTTACCAACAATTCCTAAAGAGCAGCATAACAAGTACGTTGTCGTTTATTTTGGTCTAAATATTTATACATTTACAGATTCATTCTTTACCGCACATTATCTCCTGCTGCCTTATTTTTGAAAGATTTCCAAGCTTTTATTTTTCAATTTACAAAGAATTTTGAGGATTCACCCAGCTTGATATCTTACATAAATGCCCTCCTACTTATTTGGTATTTCACTATTGTGTGTATATCTCTCTTAATTTGTTCTGGAAATGCTTCCAATTGTTAGCGTTGCTCATTTCTTGGAGTCTCGGGGAATGATTGAAGATGCTTTAGAAATTGCGACAGATCCTGACTACAGATTTGAGCTGGCCATACAGTTGGGCAGACTTGAAATTGCGAAGGTAATATTATGCGTAATGAATAATTGTTTGAAAAGTACTTTGCCTTCTTTTTTTTAATTTTTTTTTTTTTGGTTCTTATCCTTGTTTTCCATTCTTGTAGGAAATTGCTGAAGAAGTGCAGAGCGAATCTAAATGGAAGCAGTTAGGAGAATTAGCCATGTCCTCTGGGAAGGTACGTCTTCTCTAGAATAACATTTTCTTTAATGTTTTGTAATGGTAATAGGAAAAATAACTTTCTGTGCAAAAGCTATATCAGTTCGTTTACTAACTGTACATTGCATTGATAGGACAAAATTACTACTATATTTAGATCTTACAATGGCAATAAGTTTTCTTCTAGTATGTGAGGATTCATCTCTGATATCGACTTTTACTAATTGTTCTTATGCATTTTTGTCTGCTACATCATGATAGCTGCAATTGGCCGAAGATTGCATGAACTACGCTATGGATTTGAGTGGTTTGTTACTACTATATTCTTCGTTGGGAGATGCTGAAGGGGTGTCAAAACTTGCATCCCTTGCTAAGGAGCAGGGAAAGACCAATGTCGCCTTTCTTTGCTTATTCAAGTTGGGTAGATTGGAAGATTGTCTGCAGTTATTGGTGGAGAGGTATTCTATTAGTGTTCAAAGTTGGCAGTTTGAAAAAAAAAAAATCAACTTCATGTGCGTTTTGTTAGCTCGATGACAAGATTTTTTTTTTTTTTTTTTTTTCCAGCAATCGGATACCAGAAGCTGCTTTTATGGCACGTTCTTATCTTCCAAGCAAAGTTTCAGAGATAGTAGCTCTTTGGAGGGAAGATCTCAGCAAGGTTATTTTCTCTCTTTTTTTTATTGAACTTTGGTCAAATTAGAGGATATTATATGGCTTTAAGTTACCTTTGGCTTGTCAACAGGTTAGTTCAAAAGCAGCAGAATCTTTGGCTGATCCTGAAGAGTACTCAAATCTTTTTGAGGATTGGCAAGTTGCTCTTTCTATTGAAGCGAATGCTGTAGAGTCGAGGTACTCCTATCATATCTTTTTTGGCTAATGTTCATTCTTTTCCATGGTCTTTGCTTCAAGCCGCAGGTCCTTTGTTATATTGTATATGTAGCTAAATACGATTGTTCTGATTTGGTGGATGCCCATAGGACAACGTCATCCATGAGCCACTTCGTTATTATTACATATGTTTACACTTTGAGAAGATTAACGTTGATAGCTCGTAACCAGAGTATACATTGATTGTTTATCTACAGGGGAGTTTATACTGCTGCGGAGAATTATCCAACCCACGCCGATAAATCCTCCATTACCCTCGTGGAAGCCTTCAGAAACCTGAAAGTTGAAGCAGAAGAATCACTTGAAAATGGAGACATGGATCACGAGGTAAGCAAGTTCTTTTGGAGCTGTAGGACCCGGATGATTGGTTCTGTCAGTTGAATTGTTTTTTTTTGGTACTCTGTGCAGGTAGCAGAAGAAAACGGCCATGAAGAGAATGAAGAAGGTGGAGAGGAACAACATGAAGGAGAAGAAGAAGTGAATCAAGAAGAGGGAGTTGTTGATGCAGACTCAACGGATGGTGGTGCTGTACTTGTTAACGGAAGTGAGGGTGAGGAAGAGTGGGGTACGGATAACAAAGGAAACTCATCAGCCTAATAAGCAAGTCAGTCCAGGACCATTGTTGAAAAGTCGAAATTTTGTCTCTCTGGTGATTAATTGAAACCTCCCACAGAAAAATAAAAACATCTCATCACTTTGTTTCTTGATCATTCTTACACATGAGATTATACGTCTCCTTACCCTTAAAGTAACATCTTTGAGTTTGCATGAGATTTTATATTATGAGTTAACCTTGCTGTATTGATCTCTGCGTCTAATGTGGCTAGGACTTGGAGACTTGTTTTATTGCAATTAGTGAACTTATCATCTCCCTTTTGCTCTCTTCTTGTAGTGCTGACGCCAAGACAGTAACGAGTTCCAGAACTTGGAACCATTTTGGAGCAGGAGTCAACGATTCTTGGTGGAGATTATGGATAAAAGATGTGTGATCCGTGGTTTGAGGATGTGGTGGTTTTCATATAACGATTATAAAAGTACTTTAGAGAGTTTTTTTTTACGAATCTCTGCTTTAGATTTCGGATCATGTTTACAGATTTCTGGTGCATATATAATTCTTTGGAAGCCTTATTTTTGCTACTTTTTTTGTTTATTAATTGCAGAGTGTTTCAG